GAGAGAGAGAGAGAGAGAGAGAGAGAGAGAGAGAGAGAGAGAGAGAGGGAGAGGGAGAGGGAGAGAGAGAGAGGCTCAAAGCTGGAAAGTTTGCTCAAGCTACTTGAAAGCAAGTATGATGTTAAGTTTTCAGTATTGGCCTACGCGTAAACACAGGCGGAGGGTATAAAGTTCAACATGTGTAACATATGTGGAGCATCTTTCATCTGCTACACTGTAAACCATGCATTGATTCGCTGTCATTTCTCTTCCCCTAATCTTCTCCAACAAAGTGCACGGGACCAGACGATTACCAGTCAGCGTGCTGCACATCCGCTCCGTACAAATTGGAAGAATGTTTTTTATTTTCCTCTCCTTCCTAATTGCAGCAGCGGATCAAAGGACGTGGCCGTATCGCAACAGAAGAAAGGCTTCCCCTTTGAAGTCCCGGCTGCTCGGTGGAGGGTATTATTTTTCTGATGATATGGAGCATATTTTGTGACCAGAACGCACGGCCCCCGAGGGCAATTAATGGATTGTTAATTTACAAGAGCCACTTTCATTGGCCACCTGTGCGGCCCGGGCCCTTTGATCTGGGAGCCCTGATTAGGCACTTCTGAGTCCCACTACTTTCTCTTCCTTGGAGGATCGTGCTCCTTTTTCCACTGTGCAGTCCAAGTGAGCCAGGCAGGAAAGTATTTGGGAGATTTAAGAGAGCCTACATAAGCACTGAGAGATATTTCAGCTCAAGGGTGAGAAGTAGCATGCATTTGCAATAGCTCAATTACTATTAAAAAGCTTTTGGTGGAGAAGAAAAAAAAACACTGCTATCAGAGGGTGACACTAACCTCTCATGGGAGCCAGAATTAGCTTTAAATGGCTCACTAGCTATTTCCTAAAACAAATATGCAGACATCAATCGTAATATGAAGTGACTTAATAAGCATGTATGAAAGGAAGGTATGAAGCATTAGCTGAGGATGATAGCGTTTTACATATTTTGTGCCCTACGGTTATGCAAGCAGCAGCTGTGTGCTTGAAACCATGGTGTGGTGCGATGGCCGACTTCCAGAGGAGCCAGTAGCGGTGTGGAAGCATGCATATTTCAACAGCTCTGTCTGAAGAAATGACCTGAATACCAAAGAGCGGCTTTGACTCATAAACAGGCCTTTTTAAGTCTAGACAAAGCACTTCCTCTTGTTGGTAAACTAATAAAATGCGCTGTAAAACAATTATTCACAACATCAAGCGACTGGTTCCCGTAGTAAACTGGGCGAGGCCGTGACAGTTTTGATAATTACAATAATCCATCATCACAGCAGCAGAGCTCCAAATTCCTGTGGGATAGCACAGCTCCTCTTTAAAACCTGCTCCCTACCTGCCCAGCTGCCTGCAGTGAGCGCCAGCCGGGCCAAAAGTGCACAATACCTTCACACTCGTCACCATAGAAGCCTGGAGCACATGTGCAGTTGTAGGCTCCCGAGCCGGCGTCTTCACAATTCCGGTGCTTCGTGCAGTTGTACTCCTCACACGCGGCTGCATATGGGGAAAGCAGGACAGGCGGTGTAATAATCAAACTGCACAGGAATAAAAAAATAAATAAAACTGGCAGAGCTTAAGCTGTACGTGCTTTTACCTGTTTGGTTTTCCACCTCGGTTGAATTGACCTGCAGCACCACCAACTCTGAGAGAGGAAGATAACGTGATTTAAATGGTTAAAGGGTCACTTACCTCTGGTGGTATTTAGCAAAAAAGGTTTATTTGCCCAGGTTAGGAGACACCTGTCTCTCAGATATATACTGCCTCCAAAAAACCATGGATGTAAACGGAATCACGGCATTGAAAATGTTAAATCTAAGAAAATGTGTCCCTGTTGCTCTGATCAAGCTATATAAATTACTTTTAACACTTTATTTTTTTCCAAAACAAATAGTCCCTGTGGAAGCTGTACACAGTGAAATTCCATTCACCTCCATTGTATTGGAGTGGCAGCAGATATCAGACAGATATCTCAAAACCTGACCAAATAAACCCAAAACTATCTGCAAGACTAGATATCTCCAACTAGAAGCAAGTGAGAAAGATGCGATACAGTGCATGAGAAATATAGAACATAAGTGTAATAATAACAGCCTGACTGATCATTCTGCAATATTATCTCATCACAAATATATTGGTATATGGGTAGCAAGAAATTGCATCATAGAAAAGAAAGAAATGTTTGTGGTAAATTTGAACCAATGTCACCATTAGATAGTGAATTCAAGTCACCTGTCTCGCAGAGCGCTCCGGTGAAGGCGGCAGGACAAATACAGGTGAAGTTGGCCACCTGATCGACGCACTCTCCTCCGTTGAGACAGGGCTGGGACTCACATTCGTTGATGTCTGGAGGGTGCACAAAAGCCAGCGAATCAGACGAGAGAAGTTTATCCGCCGTTGATTCTGTTTCATATTAAGAATTTTCACATGGAAAGGCAAGATGTGGTTGTCTAAGTCAAGACATTGAGCCGGATTGAGAGCAATGAACTTCCCTCCTGAAAGCAGAGGGTTTCATTGACCAGGTGTCTGGCATTAGGAGTAATCCCGTCTCATGTAGATACAAGGATTCATGAACTGTGCAGGGCCTGATAATTCAATTCCCCACTGGGTTCAAGTTTCATCAACAATCAATCACAAGAGGAAGCAGATTAGTTAATGTCTTTTTGGAAAACCAACCTGGCTTCAGTGAACTTTCTCACTGTGGTTCACTGCCACGTTGTGTGACCCGAGGGAAAAAAAGAGTTGTTTGCGAATGAATTCAACCTTAACTTCAACTTGGACCTATTTTTTTTAGATAAGACTGGGGAACTCTTTGGACAAACTGCCAGAATGACTGAGTTTGATGTAGAAAGCAGCAGAAAATATTTCCTCCGGAAGGAGATGCCTACTTTTCCTCCAGACTGTGAAAAAGCCCTGCTCACCTGTCTCACACAGGACACCAGTGTAACCCGGTTCACACACACAGGTGAAACTGCCAGTGCCTTGAACACACAGAGCGTTGTTGAGGCACGGTCTGTCTTTGCACTCGTCAATGTCTGTAACACACACACACAGGGACAGAGAGACACGCTCATGGAATATTTACTCAGCTGATTAATATATCCGCCACACTGCTCCACTCACTCTGCAAGTATGTGCTGCTGGCTGTGAAAGGTATCAGAAGAGGTTTGATACATCTCCACAGGCTGGACTGTGGGAATAGGCACAGGAGCTCCAGAGAGGCTGGACCAAGATATTGTCAAATACTTAATCTAAAATACTTTTTTGTGTGTGTGTGTGTGTGTGTGTGTGTGGAAACTGCTTAATGAGGCACAAAATACCTTAATTAATCAGAGTTTTTCCAGGTCTTTCAGCCTATATTTAGTGCATGCACAGGGTCAGAGAAGAAGTGTGGAATTTTTTGATGAACGGTAAGTTCAACGGAAGTGTCAGGCCAACTCGTTCTGGGGTATTTGACTATTGTGTAAAATGATATAAACTGTATGTGGGTTTGTTGTACATGCTGTGACTTCAAATATGAGAAATGTTCATGTAATTCTACAGAAGGTATTCTAGAAAAAAGGAATACAAAATGCAATTGTAACCGCAGTATATGCCAGCATTAAGGGGAGTGTGTTTTGTACCTGTTTCACACTGAATCCCAGTGTATCCAGGTGGACAGTGACATAGGAAACTATTAATCTGGTCTTCACAAGTCCCTCCGTTCTGGCAAGGACTTGAGGCACACTCATTGACATCTACAGAGACAGGAAGGAAAACAAAGGATGTTGTGTGACTCTATTCATTAGACGAAAACCAAAGGTCAGTTAGGTTATGTTGGAGGAGAATGCAACGGATTTACATGAAGCTGATACAGGTATGAAGGAAATTTCCTCTGGCACGTCAGGTGAATCCTAGTCTTTTTTTTCACAACTTGACATTGTTTTTCCTGGCTGATCTCAGGTAGACAGTTATTCATTCACAGCGTGCCGTGTGTTTCGAGCCCAACGGAGCAACCGTAACTCACCGATCTGGCACCGCCGGCCGGTGAAGCCGGCCAAGCAGGAGCAGGTGAAGGAGGGGTTGTCTGTGATGCAGTCGTCGATGCACTGTCCTCCGTTCAGACACGGTCGCAGGTGTGGGCACACTGAAGCTGGAGAGAGAGAGAGAGAGAGGTCAAGGTAACAGGAATCCTTGAAGTAGCAAACGTTTTATGAAGGACTAATCTCTAAGAAGCAGGTCTTACCGGAATCATTGCAGCCACCCACTTCCACATTCGCATCGTCTATACGGAAGACCCATTTGCCCGGGTAGCCCACGTTGGTGGTTCCCTCAACGTTCACCACGTCAGCCGTGCGCGAGCCGGGGATGTTGAAATAGCGCTTTCCATCGCCGGCGTTGAAACCTGCCTGGAAAGAGAGTAACAAAGAAATGGCTGAATCAGAGTTCAGACACCTGAAAAGTTTGATTTGCATCTTCACAGCAAGCAGGTCATACTGTACACATCACATTTTGAACTGTTAAGATGAGCAAAAAACAAGCAAACGTGATCTTACCTGCGCTGCAATCCCACCCAGCCCAGCCAGGTTTCCTCCACTGCTGGCATGCATGCCCGTGGTCCAAGTGATGTTATTGTACTGGAATATCGTGAAGGAAAGCTCTCTATCGGTAATAAGCACCACTTGGAAAGTATTTACCTGCGTAGAGAGGAACAGACTCGGTTAAACCATTTCCTGATTTCCACGAACTTCGGTAATAATGCATGTATCCGACAGACTGCTCATGTTAACGGCACAGATTCCTAAACCTCAGACAGGTTAGAGACATAATAGACTCGTCTGGGCCTGTTGTTGAGGGAGATAGCGAGAAATTCACAATTACAAATTGTATTTCCTGGGACTTTGAGATTATCTAGGCCAGTGGCTCCAAGTAGTTCATCCCTATCAGATGAGCTTGAGTCCATAACACCACCCGCCATGTTCCACATGTGTTGATTCACATGCAATCTTACTACTACCATTTGAAGTGGCAGAGGCCGGATCTTTCAGCCATTTAATCAGTACTTTTAGCATTTCAACTTCTCTGATAGCTTGTGAACTAGTTTTCATTCACTCTCAGTGGCAACACGTGGTGTCCTGGTGTTACAACTGACTCAGTGTATGGTGCAGTCAGCCTATTGTAGCTGGATATTTATTATATATGTCACACCAATTAGGACGATTTTCTTTGGGGACAGTTATTTTACTGCTAAAACACAAATAAATCAACTTTTCTTTGTTTTTAATCAAATCAAATCTTTTTCTCAAGCTAATTGAGATACTCCACAATCTTTCCACATACCCTTTGGCAACTGCAGAAGTACCCCCTGAGGTTCAAGTACCCCTGCTTGGGAATTACTGATCTAGATACTTCAAACTTCCACAGAGGATCAGAGCTGCTGAAGCAGTAACAACATGCTGGAGAGCTGTAAAGTTAAGAGTGAGTTTATACCGGTGTGAGGGAGTTGCCTCCGAAGAAAGTAACTTGGTGCCACGTGGCGATGAGGACCCACGTTGCGTTGAAGTTGGGGAACTCTGAGAAGTACGCCTTGACATCGCCCGAGGCCCTCCTCAGGGTGGAGGAATCCCGGCTCTCTCTGTAGAAGACCCTCCCTGCTCGACGGTTGTCCACATCAGCCCAGAACGGGGCCACGACCCTCCTGTCCCCGGCGATCGGAAAAGCCACAGGTGTGAACTGAGACACCTCCCTCAGGAAAGACACGAGGCCATTGTTGTTAACCTGAGGAGAAGAGAGTCAGGGTCAGAGTGTGTCAATGGGACGAATCATACAGTTATATAATTTACTCCACGTGTCAGATGAAGCCACTGTGACTTGTTTGTATGGTTAGGCGTATGTAGAGTGGAAGTGCTGAGGAGAAGAGGGCGGAGGTGGACGACCGGAGGTGTTCTGACCTCACACCCGTAATGGCTGTTTGCACTTCCCATGTAGCAAACAGAAGCTACCTTTATTCTGTGAAATAACAGCAGCTGAGAAAACCAAGTTTCTGCTGCTCACGCACCCGCAAAGTCATCACGCCGAGGAAGACGTCCATGGCCTTTAAATCCACAGGTGTCTGCCAACGGCAAAGTAACCAAACACGTGAGCCCATGCTGCCCTTCGTCCACATGTCTCCTCTGTGAGAAATGCACAGTCAGCACGGCAGCTATATACCGAAGCATGGAGAAAAATCAACCTCTTAAAAGACCAACTTTAACAGCTCAGTGATTGGTGTAGCGCTGAAGCAATTTGGCAAATGACTGATTAGTCGATCCACAGAAATTAAACCAACAACCACTGTCACTCTCAAAGGTGGGTGTTATAGATTATAAAATAGATTTATAATGAAAATATTAGTTAGTTGCTCTCATAGATTGGTTTTTATACATTTTTGGCATACTGTTGTTACTCTTAAAGCTGCATTAATTGACTTTTTAGCCACTTGAGGGCAGCAGAACAAGCTGTAAACCCAACATTGATATACAGTACTGTATCACCACCTTATAGAGTTATATGGCGAACATGTCTGCAAACTGATGCCTATCAACCCATCCAGCAGAGAGAAAACATTAGCATTCATTTAGAGATGGGTTTCTCTCCACATAGCAAAAGTAAGCCCAATATTCATTCTCCTTTTAAATCGGATTTGGTCTCCAACAACTCCAGTGGAAAATATCTGACTGCTAAATGAAGCACAATGTCCACCAGCTAGTTGTTAGTCATCGTTTGTTGTTGGGCAGATTGTATACAGTTGGTTGATCTGAGGTTTTTTTGGGCTGCAGCTGGAAACAAGTGTGATAGAAGTGGTGAGATTGAACCAAAACGGAGATGTTACAGGCTGTAAAACACAAAAGGAGGAGCTTAAACATGCTCTAAAAACTAACGAAGTTAGGTGATGATTACTTGTGGGTATTACTACAAGCAACCGCTTAAACATACAAAAAGAAATCCATTTTTAATATAAAAATATTGAATGGTACAGCTTCAAGCTGGAAAAAGGGATTACAATGTGCGATGGAGCAACAATAAGGATTGCAAGCGTAAAGCCACAGAACCAAGACGATAAATGTGACAAATGTTCATGTTTTGCTCGAGGGTTCACTGCCGTGGTGCAAGGTAAAAGACGTACTGTGAGCTGTGGGAAAAGGTACCGCTTATTGATATGAGGAAGATCTGGTGTACAGGAAGTAAATGAGGTGTGTTTCAGGCGGGGTGGAGGATATTTAGGGGAGAAAGTCTCTTGAAGACAAGAAATATTAAGAGATTTCTGTGATTCTAAAACAGCACATGGCAGTTTGGTAAATGGTCATTTCAATGATAGATTATTATTAAGTAGCATTTAGCAGTGAAGCATACATGGAGAGAGTCCTTATATCACAAACATTAGGGGATGTGTGACCAGCCACTGCACTACATTTTGAACATCCTAAGACACAAGCCTCTAGACCTGAGTGGAGAGGAAAGTTTTACAGGCTGAAAGGTTGAACTCTACGTGACAGGCCTTCTTTCATTTATATATTACTTCTGGATACTATCAACAAGGGGAGATTCCCCCCCCCCATGGCACCTTTCTGTTTCTTCTAATCGCTGGCGTGAACTTTGCCTCCCCACGCTCAAGCCGAGTGGCACGTGACGGCGACAACGCAGCATCGGAAGGCTCGCCTTCGCTTCCCGCATGTATGAAAACCATAATTTAAGGACCTTGCTGTAAAAACAGCAGAGGAAGTTTTGTTTGGCACAGCACAGGGGCTCAGTTAATTGCCCGACCACAGTCTTCCCCTCAGCATCAGCGTGATGTGGTGAGAACGGGGCTGATGTAGGGGGAAGAAAAAAAAAAAAGAGGACCGACTTGCAGGGGCAGGGCCCAGGGGTCAGCCAGAGCGCCATCTGATACCGGGAGAAAAACAGGAGAGAGGGCAGAGGGCTGGATGAATGATAGGATGTACATGAACTACAAACCTCCCACACCCACATACCCACTAATGAGAGACCTGTGGTGGCAGCGGTCTGGAAGTCACCCATCTCACAGCAAAATTAGGGGAGGAAATCATGCTGAACACCAAGTAGAGTTTACACCTCAACACTGGAATATGTTTAATCGCTTAATCCAATCTGTAGTAGCATCTGGAACTGTTTAAACAAGTGTATTTCTTACTTGTTCATATTTTCTCGGGGACTACTTTGACATGGCAATGACCTGAGAGGAATTTAAAACAGAACTCAGAACCTTTCTTTCTTTGCATCGTATCACATACTTTTATTCTTCTCATCCAGTGAAGGGTGGGTATGCATCACACTCATGTGAGAGTGTGAATGGGTTCAGAGCTGCCTTGTGTTATGTTGTAACATGACCAAGGTCAGAGAGAGGTGCGATTAGTCAACCCCCCCCCCCCCCGTATTTCTTCCTCTCACTCTCAATGGTGCCACTCCACACTACGACTCCCCTGTTATTTTTTTTGGGACATCTTCTGCCGGATATATCTGGGATTTTGCTTTGGTGGTTTTCTTTAGGGCCAAGCATTTTATGGACACAAATAAACTTTCATCTGGCATAAGTCAAGCCAAAGCAAACCCCCTGAATGAAGAAGGTGCCCATGGATCAGCGCAGGAAAACATTCGTTTTCCCTGTCAAATACGGAGGTTTCACAGTTACAAGCTTGTGCAATTATTTGACGAGACCGAAGGAAGTGATTACATTATGTGCCCTGGGCCTGTCTCCTTATAGCCACGGATCAACGTGTTCTTCAAAGAGTTTACATGGAGGCAATAAATCCTCACTGCAACAGTGTGGAGGGACTCCAATACAACTTCCATGGTGCAAGTGATGTGGAGGTTTGGTGTAGTGACAATGTATTCAACTACAATTATAATTTGCAAAGCACATGGTTTAGAATTACAGAGGAAAAATACTTCCATCAAGTGATTTTACGTTAAGAAAGTTGGATTTTAATTTTGTGATCAGTTTTTTTGAAAAAAGTTACAAATATTGTTTACTTTTGAAAAGCCTAGAAAGAAAGGTAAGTGATGCACAAAGAAACCAAAAACATGACTTCTAATGATTGCATCTGGATGCATTTAATAAAGTTTTGGCCTTAAAGTCTTAATCGAATAGCTTGATATTTTGGGAAATACTCATATTTGTGATCTTGCCGATAGTCAGATGAGAACATGCACGAGACTATTTCTTGGCTGGAAGACTTCCTGGAGTCTTGTCATCACTGCGAGCTTACAGGGAAACCAGCAGAGACTCCAGGAAGTCACTGCGCCCGGGCCAAGAAATAGTCTGGTCCACAAACTGTCCCGTAAAACCACAACTTGTTGTTTTTACACAAACAAGCTTGCGGCGTTTGTGCTCAGCTAAGCTAACCATCTCCCGGCTGCAGCTTCATAGTTAACAGACAGACATGAGAGTGGCGTCAATCCCCTCACCTAACTCTCCACAAGAAAGCTGCTCCTTTGAAGTGCATCGCTGACTTTAAGACTTTACGGCATTTTAAAGTACGTGCAGACATATCTCGTCCATGGGGGACGGAGCGTTCCTAACATCACTCAGCCACGTCTCTCATCCCACACATGCATATAAAAAGCACCCATGCAGAGTACAAAGAATAAGAAGTTGATGCGCACATCTTTGGGCCATACATAGTGGTGAGTGAAAGTGAGTGAATGAAAAAGGCTCAAACTGAAGTGTTGAAGCTCTTTTGAAGAGCAGATGAGCACTAGCAGATGTGCAATCTGTGAAGAGTGCAGTTTCACTTTAGCACGTTCTTGGCAGGATCTTTTTCAAAAATGTATTTGAATTTGGTTTAAATGTAGTTTATTTCTAAATACATATTCTTGCACATTTGAATACTAAAAATGACACGTTTGGGGATACAAACATACACAGCGAGCTCACAGGTTTCCATCTGTCCGTGAGTTTATGTATCTACAATACATACCTTTGATCGTAACTATCTATTGTCACATCTGCTTTTAAACTCGTGTTCCTTCTTCTCTGACCGTGGACATCCTCCTTCATGTTCTTTACACTGGCCGTCCGTAAGAGGAGTGAACCCGCGAACTGCATTGTTTAGGAGCTCCGAAGACGCTTTGCAGATACATCTGTGTTCTGTTAAAGTGATTGGTCATTTCTCCGATAAAGCAGCTGGACAGTTCCAGGGGGAAGACCCCTGCCATGTTATCTGAGGCGTGGGAGGAGGGGAGGGGGACCTGGAGGAGGAGAGATCCCAGCAACATGTGAAAACTCCCAGACACAAACCATAACAGAGGGACAGCCTGGTTACAAGCAGGCACAAGTGGGACTGGGGCGGGGGGGACCCATGTTTGTACAGGCATTTGCAGCGTCTGTTGATATGACTTCTGTGACCAAAAGTCACATGGCTGTGGCAGTCTTTAAATCCACTACTGTTTATCTCGATCAGAACTGGTAAAAAGACGATGTCTTCCAGAAGGGACAAAGGCTGATAGTTGAGGTTTTAAAGGGATCTGCTGTGAGGGGTTTCACGGTATGTGTCCTGATGAACAGAATCAGTTATGACAATAAAACAAGGCAGCAGTCACAGACCGTCTAAATTCAGTTTGGTTCTCCGGCTTCCATGCGGCGGTAGCCCAGAGGCTTGGAACAAACTCCTGGGAGAGAAACTCCTCACACAAATGTAGCCCCCCCTCACTAAAATATTAACTGTTCAAAGCAGGTCTCTGATGGCAGGAATCACCATGTGGTCCACGCGCTTTACAGCAGATGTTTAATGAATTCAGGTGAGGCATTTCAAATGAGCGTGACTGTAATTTCAAGTGCCTGTCACAATCTGTTACGCCTTGCGTGACTACAGAATTGCAGCCCAATGAGATGCAGGGCGAGCCACAGGATATCAGATCGCATCTAACGCGCCGCATTTCGGAGTGGAGTTCTCTGATTTTTATCTCTACATAATAAGATGATAGTTCAATCGAAGATCAACAAGCCAAGCAACCAGTTACTTGTCTTATCTTGTCTAATTTGACACCGGAGTTCATTGCAAAAACTGGGAAGAACACACAATGTGAATGCAACTGGGATATACAGGAGCTCCAGACCACTGACACACTGCCGCTGTCCGTGCATGGCGTGTGGGTGCATGAGAGTTTTAAAAATGTCTTCATTGGGAGACTGACCTCACCCCCTTTGGCGCAGACGCTTAGATTAGAAAGATGACCTTTGACCTTGCCCATTGTTGCCATGGTTCCTCGGGCTCCCCTGCCCATGGTTTGAAGGGGGGAGGAGGGGAACGAACGCGGGTGCATAAACCACAACAGGTGGTGTTGATTTAAGGGAGTTCTGCCTTTCCATGCGCTGGAACCGAACCCAATAGATGACAAAAGACAGATCAAAGTGTGTTTCACTGTGGTGCGCAAGAATCCTTGTCAAACCATTCAGCTTCCTCCCGTGAGCGCAGTTTCTCTCTCTCTCCGGCGTGCACATTTCCCCCCACAACTCTCTCTGAAAACTGCTCACAGATGCTCCGCGCCAGCAGTAAGAACACAAACTGTCATTTCCTTTAACAGCTCATTGTGGACCCACTAGAACAGGGCTCGCCACTGTTCTGCTAATAGTTTCTCTCTCGCACTCTCCCTCGGTGCACTTGAGAGTGCGAGGAGGGCAGATGTAAAGTGAAGAGAATGTCATCGAGGATTATGATTCCGCCCGTGGGTGGGGGGGTAAACACGATATTCTACAAATGAGGTTACACACCAGAGCTTGTGAGTGCACACAAACATACAAACTCTCAAAGGGCGCTGCGATGTAGTATTTGGCTGCGCGCCAAATCTCCTATCCCTGAGGCTCTTATACAATCCACACCATGTCAGTTTCAATTGCCAACTGCAAAGTGCATGCACACACACAACTGTACACGCTGAAATATGAAGACATAAACACACACACACACACACACACACACATATATACATCAGTAAAAACACAGTGCTCTGTACTCACGTAGAGTCCCGTGTGCTTGTCTCCAAAGAAGGGGAAAGCAACGGAGATCTGCACAAGCCTGGAGCCTCCGTCGTCCTGAGAGTTGGTCTGGGAGTCCCCCATGTCCTGGCCAAAGGGGTAGAAGTCCTCCAGGGGCACGGCGGGTTCCACTCCAGGCAGCAGGTTCAGGGAGAGCAGCGTGCAGAAGCAGGGCAGCAGGGCTCGCAGCACCAACACCATGGCCTCAGCCACCCAGGGATGGAGCTGACAGCGGGCACCGCGGTGGGGAGGGAGGAGCACGCACACCTGAGGCAACAAGAGCACAGCAGAACAGGACAAGAGCGTACGTTCCTCCTTCTCAACCACAGCAGTCTGAATCCTCCCCTGACTGCTCTCTGGCTCTGCCTCTCACTCCCCTCTCTTGTCCTTTAGTAGGGAACGGGGCTTCTTGTGTGAGACGGGGGAATACTGTAGATTCCTTGCATTCTGCTTGCTGCTGGGTACTGCATGAGCTACACTCCGTCTCACTGAAATGAAACGAGGGAAGGAATGAAAGAGGGGGAGCAGCGTGATTCAGCTGAGATGTGTTTTTTTTTTTTTTTTTTTTTAACAATCCAGCGATTTGGTCCCTGATGGTCAGCTTAGAAATATCCTCAATAAAAGCTCTATTCTGCCTGCCAAAGGAGTTCTTTCAGTTTTTGGCCCCACCCCCCCCACAGGGATTCACTACCTTGCATAATTAGCTCCTTCCAGCCAATAGCAGAAAAGAGGCCGGTAACAGGATAACCACTGGGCGGATCTATGATAATCAAAGGGCTGCTTTAAAGAAACTCGGACAAGATTTTCCCCTTTCAGTGAGACTCCTACTATGTACAGTTACCAAGGCATGCAAGGCTTCACATCGAGAAGACCTGCGAGTGCGCTGGTGTGAGAAAGCAACACTGTACAGTGAGTAATGCGAGAGTCAGAAATGGAGTGAAAACATACTTACATGTGCACACTGCAGATATAATATATTTGTGGTTTTGCGATCATAAAAGGGAAGACCACATATCGTCTAAAGATTTTTAGGGTTGTGGAGGATTACGGAGGGATCATCAGTTAAACTTCCAGTTAATGACGATCCCCACAGACCTTGCTTGGCATCTGCAGCGATCTTTGAAAGAAAAACACTTAAGACAGCACTGGCAACAGAGAGCGAAGGTCATTCTCTCACCCACAACACTAAATCCACAAAGGCTTTTAATGGGGCGAACCCAACGCCAGAACTCACATGCCATGAAAGGGCAGTGCTGTCCTTCGCAAAGTTCACAGAAAACTGCTTTTTTTCTTTTCCCCATAACAAAGTTGTGTGGCGAGTAGAATAAACATAATCATCGATTATCAATTGTCAACATCCTTCTTTAAACAAAATTGTATAAATATGCTCTGATACACCCAGTTTATTAAAAACAATCACAGCTTTTGCACACACTATATTGATAGAGTCAGAACATAATAAAATAAATGAGTTGCACTATGTAATCTGCCTGAGACACTAATCACAGCGACGGGAAAATCTGCAAACAATTATTGTAAATATTTGGATATATATTCTCATTAGTATACACAAACAGTGATTATATGACATGTAAAATTGGTACATGATCAATATGACAAATGAGTATAGGAGCAATCACCAGAGCGGAATGAAGCACCAACTAAGGAAACCTTTCATCACAATGTTTCCTAAAAAAAAAAAATGACACAGCATAAACAGACTTAGAAACGCCAACTGCAGCGAGCCAGAGGAAATCCTTAAAACAATTTGGCACATCCAGTCCACTTATAAACAAAACACTCATTGTTTGTTGTTGTTGAGTTTTCCTGCAGATTAATGTAATCCGGTGTGCACATGTGCATGGGCGAGCGCCTCAGGAGTGTGTTTGTGTGCGTGCGTGTGTTTCCAAATGTGGACGTAGCTCGTAACCTAATGTTGTTGGGAAGCTGCCAGAGGAACAGTGAATGAGGAAGCCAGAGGTGCTACATACTTCACTGCAGGGTCTCCGCTTACACACCGGGTTGGAGCATCTGATTGAAATAGGCCTGTCGTCTTCTTGTCTCCTGATCCAGCTGCTCTTTCAGAGTCAGCACCTAATTAAAAAAAAGGTAGGTAGACAAACGCTAATACACGGACATAAACCTGTAGCACAAAAGAAAGACCTTCCCGACAAATGATCCACACTTAAGACTTAAAATACCTGTTCCTCCAGACATTTGACCCTCTGGCGATGTGCCTTCTCCCTTGTCTCCAAAGCCTGCTCTGCTTGAAACTGGCTGTCTCTCAGACGATCCGTCTCCAAATCCAACTCCTGGTGATGGCGGGCTGTCGCCTCCAGGAGGCGCTGTGCATGAGCGTGCTCTAACTGGGACACTTGGGCCTAAAGACCGTTCCCATGAGTTTACAGAAAAGAAATAAAGGTCGGTAAGTGTAATAATCTGTGGTTGAGCAGAAAGGGGGCACACAGAGGTTCTCTGATTCCGGGGTTACCGAGGTCATGACCCCTCACTCACTTAGCGGGCCAAGTTAGCCAACTGGAAAACACATGTTGGTGGAAGGCAACTTGATATGATAGATGTAAACAATCAAACACAATTTTCGAGAGAAACTGAAATGACATTGGAACAGTAGCAGTTTCCTTTTGAGAATTATGATTCGCTACTGCTGTTCAAATGCAACTCGTCAGTGCAATATTTTCTCACAAGCAAGTGCAACTACCTATTGCACTCAATGTAGCTTCAAAGAATTTTTGTATTTTCATATTACTGAAATGCTGAATGTCAAAGTATGTCAGTAGTGGCAGTACACATGTTCCACATCATTGTCCCTGTCCTCACAGTGTGACCCCCCCCCATGCCCCATCCCTGGCTGTATAATCCAGCAGCCTCTCACCTGCACAGTCTGCAGCTCAGCCTGCTTTTCAGCCAGCTCCTGTTCCAGGCAGCGGACTGTCTGTCCCAACTGCTCCTTCTCTCTGGCTGCCGACGCCGCCTCCCCCTCCTCCCTCCTCAGCCTCTCCATCTCCACCTGATGACGACACGAGGGTGACATAATGTGAACGACTTTACCATGATTGCTCTGCAGCCGGGTGCCTTCCTGTAATGCGTGTAGCAGAAGCCAAGCTTGGAGCCTCTTGGTTCTCACAGTCCGCCGGCATGTTTCCACGGCTCCAAGATCACTTTGTGCAGCGTGTGACAAAGGAGATGTGGAAGAATGGAACAAACCGTATTGCGCAAATGACAAACTGCAGCACGATGAAACAGCTAATTATTCACATTATCTCCTCCGGCATGGATTAAGATAACTGCCCATTAATGTGCCTTAATGCTTCGGCAACTGTATGTCTTCACTTGATCCAGAATGTGGCAGGCAGCGAGGCTTCTGACCAACACTACACACATATTACTTCAGTCCTGGCTTCTATATGTACACGGGCTTCCAGCAGCTTTAAAAATAACTTTAAGATGCTTTTAATTACATTTTAAAGCCCCTTGTGGTTTGGGTCCCTCATATATTTCAGATCTTTTACCTCATACTCAGCACCAACACTTTTCAGGTCTCCTGACAAAAAGCTGTTAAATGTTCTGGGGTGTAGCTATATATATATACTGTATATATATATATATACATATATACACAGCATATATAT